GATCACCTTCTTCTCGGTGAGCGCGGTGTCCACGGCGCCGAGCGGGAGGAAGCTCTCGTCGTCCTCCTTCGATTGGGACCCCGTCGGTTCGCTCTCGTCTGCCCTTGCTGAGCCGCCCGTCGTGCTCCTCTGGGTCTGGACCAGCCTGCCTTCGGACCTGAGGGCAGTCCTCGTTGCTACTGGCCTCGACGTCTTCACCTGGTTCAATGTCCCCCTCACCTTTGTGAGGGATTCGCTGAACATGGTCGCGTAGGTCTCTGTGAAACAGGGCACCAGGATCATCGGCTCTGAGAAGAGCTCGGGCATCTTGTTCGCGTCGATGGGCCTCTCCAAGGCCTCGTCCATGAGCCTTGCGTGCCAGCAAGAACTCCTCCGAGGTCATTTTCATGAGCAAGCTGTTCTCCGACACCTTCACTGGTGAATCGAATGGAACGATGGCGCACTCTCCACCAGCACTGACGGCTTTCTGCTGAGCTTTCTTGACCATTTCCGCCTGTCTCTCGCGCTTGAGAGTGATTGCCTTGCGCTGGTCGCTGTCCTGGATCTGGATGGCCAACTTATCCTCCCCGTGCTGCTGCAACTCCCTGGCCTCCGTCGAGGCGTCCAAATTGGTGAGCCACTTGGATCCGCACCACAACGAGAGACGCGCCGACTCGACGTTCTTCACCACCTCGGAGCGTAAGTCTACCTCGGCCATGAGCAAGCGGGTGCCATCCACAACCATCATCAAGGAGTTTGCAGACGCCAGGTTCAGCGACTCGATGATGGGAGGCGAGAGGGTCGACTGGAGATTCCCGATCAACGTGGTGAGCACGTCGGGCCGATTCGCCGATGGAAAGCAGTCTTCGACCTTCTTCCTCGTGAAGGTCTTGCCCTCCTTCAAGACCCCGAGGACCTTGGCCAGGACTGACATCAGCAATTTGACCATTGAGTCCAACAGCAATAGCGTGCCCACCATCTCTCCAACACTGACCCTGCGCTGGAGCGTCAGCCAGTACAAGAGCGACATCACCGAGATCAGCTTGCCTTCTTGGTATTCCCCGGAGTCGCGAAGCGTGTTGCTTCTCGAGACATGCTCTTGAATCTCTGGAATCGACTTCAACGCCTCCACATCGGCGCAGACCACCTTGCCGAGCATCGACTTCGCCTGGGAAGCCACGAACTTGATGGCTGCAGTTATCTCCGCCTGGGAGAGCTTCGCCGCGTCGCTCATGTAGCCATCCTTGAGAAGGCGGTCCCTGAGCTCCATGATCATCTCGCCCTGCAAGCCAGGCGGCGGCAGTGGCTGGCCAGCGTCCGATGGGTCCGCCTTGCCGACGGCCTGCGCCTGGAGGCCCTGCGGGGGCGAAGCCGCCGTGGACGCAGCAGCGATCGCCGCCGGCTTCGGCGAGGCAGCTGCGGCCGCAGCCCCGGACGAGCTCGCCCCAGTCGACATCGTGTTCGCTTCGGATGACAAAGGCCTCTTGGAGAAGGAGAAGGAGAAGGATGACAAGAGTTATTTGTGGTAGTGAGAATATCCGATCTTTTCTGTGAGCCCGTAGTAGTAGTAGTAGTAGTAGTAGTAGTAGTAGTAGTAGTAGCAGCAGTAGTAGTAGTAGTAGTAGTAGTAGTAGTAGTAGTAGTAGTAGTAGTAGTAGTAGTAGTAGTAGTAGTAGTAGTAGTAGTAGTAGTAGTAGTAGTAGTAGTAGTAGTAGTAGTAGTAGTAGTAGTAGTAGTAGTAGTAGTAGTAGTAGTAGTAGTAGTAGTAGTAGTAGTAGTAGTAGTAGTAGTAGTAGTAGTAGTAGTAGTAGTAGTAGTAGTAGTAGTAGTAGTAGTAGTAGTAGTAGTAGTAGTAGTAGTAGTAGTAGTAGTAGTAGTAGTAGTAGTAGTAGTAGTAGTAGTAGTAGTAGTAGTAGTAGGTAGTAGTAGTAGCAGTAGTAGTAGTAGTAGTAGTAGTAGTAGTAGTAGTAGTAGTAGTAGTAGTAGTAGTAGTAGTAGTAGTAGTAGTAGTAGTAGTAGTAGTAGTAGTAGTAGTAGTAGTAGTAGTAGTAGTAGTAGTAGTAGTAGTAGTAGTAGTAGTAGTAGTAGTAGTAGTAGTAGTAGTAGTAGTAGTAGTAGTAGTAGTAGTAGTAGTAGTAGTAGTAGTAGTAGTAGTAGTAGTAGTAGTAGTAGTAGTAGTAGTAGTAGTAGTAGTAGTAGTAGTAGTAGTAGTAGTAGTAGTAGTAGTAGTAGTAGTAGTAGTAGTAGTAGTAGTAGTGGTAGTAGTGGTAGTAGTGGTAGTAGTAATAGTACCCGTAGTAGTAGTCGTAGTAGTAGTAGTAGTAGTAGTAATGTTATTATCCATGGTATTGCGATGCGTATCAGTATGGTTAATATTCCTAGTTGAGTTGCCATTAATGTGATCAGTCGTATTACTATTAGTAGTCTCATTGTTATTAGTAGTAGTATTATGAGTAGTAACAGGAGTAGTAGCAGTAGTAGTAGTGGTACCATTAGCATTCTCGTCATGAATACGTGTATTAGCATTGCTATGATTGATAGTAATAGTACTATTAGTAGTAGTAGTAGTAGTAGTAGTAGTAGTAGTAGCATTAGTAGAATTACTATTCGTAGTACGCGTATATACTTGGCAGTGGTAACAGTCGGTTTCGTATTGTTGCCAGTCGTATTATTAGTGTGTATTCGTCTTCTTATGCGTAGCATGATTAGTAGTAGTGTTCGTGTTCTGCTTAGTCGTCGTACGAGTCTGCTCCCTAGCATTATTACGAGTAATATGGTTACTAGCGTTGCGAGTATTAGCATTAATGTGATTAGGTGTACACTTAATACGATTATTACTAGGGCCCGCATTAGTACTAGTACCAGTGCTATTGAAATGATAGTTGCTCGTCATAGTAATCGCATTCTTCTTATTCGGTATTCGTAGTATGTGCTGTGTCAGTCGTATTATTGCGTGCCTGGTTAGTTGTCTTACTCGCCTGTCTTAGTGTTCGTCGCATAGGTACCGTTAGTGGTGGTATCATTATTACTGTTACGAATTGTAGCATTACTATTATCATGAGCATTGCTAGTATCGGTGTTCGCCGTATTAATAGTATTCGTATTCATGTTGGCAGTCGTCTTCTTCGAATAGTAGCAGTATTATGATCCGTATTCGTAGTCGCCTTCCTCTTAGTATCATCAGTAGTCATATTCTCCATATTCGTATTAGCATCAATAGCCTTAGCAATCGCTGGATTAGTCTTAGTCGTTTTCTTAGTAGTCATAGTAGTAGTAGTAGTAGTCGTAAGATTCGTCGTATGTTTCTTTCTCGTCTTCTCAGTATGATTACGATTCGTCGTGTTAGAAGTATGCATAATCTTCTTATTAGTATTATGAGTAGTAAAAGTGTTCGTCTTCTTAGTAGGTTTCATAATATGATTAGTATTGTTAATGAGTGTATATTCCTCCTCCGTCTCATCCTGTTCCTATTCCGCTTCCTCCTCCTCCTCCTCCACCTAATCCTCATCCTCCTCTTCCTCCTCCTTCTCCTCTTCCTCCTCCACCTCTTCCTATTCATCCTCCTCCTCCTCCTCTTCCTCCTCCTCCTCCTCATCCTCCTCCTCATCCTCCTCCTCATCCTCCTCCTCCTCCTCCTCCTCCCCCTCCTCCTCCCCTACTCCTCATCATCCTCCTCCTCTCGTCCTCCTCCTCCTCCTCGTCCTCCTCCCCCTCCTCTTCCTCCTCCTCCTCCGCCGCCGCCGCCTCCTTATTATTAGTCATCCTCCTCCTCCTCCTCCTCCCCTCCTCCCTACGCATTCCTCCTCATCCTCCTCCTCCTCCTCCTCGTCATTATCCTCTTCCTCCTCCGCCCTCTCCTCCTCCTCCTCCTCCTCCTCCTCCTCCTCATCCTCCTCCTCCTCGTCCGCCTCCTCCTCCTCCTCCGCCGCCGCCTCCGCCTCCGCCTCCGCCTCCGCCTCAGCCTCCGCCTCCGCCTCCGCCTCCGCCTCCGCCTCTGCCGCCGCCTCCGCCTCCTCCTCCTTCTCGTATGTTTCGTCTTCGTGCTAATAGTAAATGTAAACTTATTATTATTGCTATCAGCATTATTATTAGCAGTATGAGTCGTGTTGTTGCTCATATTGGTATTCCTAATATTAGTAATAATATGACTGTTAATAGTTGCTGGTATCATTAATATTATGTTCGTATTCGGAATAGTCCCGGTGATGTGTATGTAGTAGAAAGTATGATTATGTTCGTATTCGGATTTGTGGCTAGTATTAGTACTCTTATCATTAATGCTGTTCGCCTTCATCTTAACTTCCGTATCATGGTGGGGATTCCCCGTAATATGTTTCGTCGTGTCATGATTAGCATTACTATTACTATTCAGAACCATAGTAATGATAGTTGTAGTGTTAGTAATAGTATGAGTGTTCGCCCTCGTCGTCTAAATAGTCGTACTAGTCGTAATATCATTAATATTCATTTTACTCTGAGCATTAGTCGAATTATTAGGCTTGATAATACTATTAGTAATAATATAAGTAGTAGTTGACGTATTGTTGTTCGTCATAATAAAGATGACTACTCGTATTAGTAAAATTATTGTTCTGGTTGGTACGATTAGTCGAATGTGTCTCGTATTAGTCTTCTTATCATCATTATATGTTTGCTTGTTCGTATTATTCGTAGGATGCTTATTATGATTCGTCTTCTTCTCCATATTATTATTATTAATAGTAGTCGTCATCCTCCTCCGCTTCCTCCTCCTCCTCCTCCTCCTCCTCCCCCTCCTCCTCCTCCTCCTCCGCCTCCTCCGCCGCCCCCCCTCCTCCCCCCTCCTCCTCCTCCTCCTCCTCCTCCTCCTCCTCCTCCTCCTCCTGCCCCTCCTCCTCCTCCCCTTTTTCCTCCCCTCCCTCTCCCACTCCCCCTCCCCCTCCTCCTCCTTCCTCTTCTCCTCCTCCTCCTCCTCCTCCTCCTACTCCTACTCCTACTCCTACTCCTACTCCTACTCCTACTCCTACTCCTACTCCTACTCCTCCCCCGACACGAGAGGGCGGCCGAAAGCGCGGCGGCCGCGCAGCCGCCTCCCGCGCCCAGCCCAGCCCGGGCCACTAGGTTAACGCCCCCAGCCATGGCCACGGGCGTCGACAGGCTTGTGTCCGCCTCCGACTCCGAATCGGTCGCTGCGTCCTGGCGGCGCACTCCCTCAGCACAGCGGCGGCGGGGATCAGCGAGAGCTGGGGGGTCTTCCATTCCTTTGCATTATAAAAAAAAACTCCTCCCTGTGGCACCCCGAGGCCAGTCGGAAGGTCGGGCTGGGCATTTAGCCTGGGAGCTCCTTACCACTTATGATCCTAAAGCTGAGAAGTTGGCAACAGTTTCGCTGATGGAGGCCGGGTCGCTTCACAAATGTGGCCCTCGCCTGAGCGCCGTGCACACTCGTCGGGAGAATTCGCAAGAGCGTCACTGATTGCGCGCGGCCAGTTTTCAAAATGTGGCTCTTGCCTTAACGCCGCACACATTCGTCTTAAAAATTTGCAAGAGCTTCACGGATTGAGGGCGGGCCGTTTCCAAATTGTCGCTCTCACCTTAGCGCCGCCCACATTCGTTTTGTAATCAAATCGCAAGGGCTTCACGGATTGAGGATGAGCCCTTTACAACATGTGGTTATCACCGTAGCGCCGCGCACACTCGTCTTAAACATTGGCAAGAGTTCAGCTAATTCCAATGGTTAACGCACCAGGAATGATCTTTGGAACGACTCTGGTTTGCCAGGGCGCAACAGTTACGTTGATTCGCGGTGTTGAAGTCCCACGAACGGCGTTCTGGCACGATTCAGAACCGTCCAGACTCAACAATCAAGTTGATTCGTGGCGTTGGAATCCCGAGAATGGTGGTTGGCACGCTCCAGGATCTTCAAACGGGTGTCCCCCAACGGGGCACTTTCCTTAGTGGGAATGACTGCTTGCAGGTGCTTATGAACAGGGAGCTTGGAGTGAGGGTTCATTCCAACATCGTAATCGCAGATCCGAAGTTTCAAACAGGGTGCCGCTGGAAGCACGAATTGCCTTCTTGCGACCTGTGGGCGGCGCAATTGCACGGGGAAGCAGCACAGTATCAGGTAGCTTCCATGCATCTGACAATAACCGCATCATCTCGCCAGCTTTGCGTGTCCACGCAGACGAGGATCTATGATCGTCTCGAGTGGACATCCAAAGGAGCCCCCAAGCCAACACCAACGGGTCCTCCCAAAAACTCTGCAGCCCACGCCGTGTGAACACAACATCCTCCTTCCTACGTCTTCGGACTGGCAGGGTCTTCATGCACTCCCATCACTCTCTGCCAACTCCGCGACGGGCTACAGACGAGAGGTTAGCGCCGCTCGCAAGGACGACGGTGGACTCGTCCAAAAATGCCTTGTGTACCGCGTTGGCGCACCTTTGGAGCGGCATCGCACGGTAACCGGCGGCGGACAAATTGTAAATGTTTGCTGCAATCCGTCTGTTATTGGGGGGCAACGATAGGGGGGGACTGGCATAGGGGGGGATGCATCGACCTGGAATCGGCGATACATCGCCGATAGGTCGGCGATAGGCCTCCGATAGTGAATCCGCACCTTCCTGGGCAGATTGGGACTATCGGCACCGTATCGGCGATCAATGGGCGATTGGGGGTCGATGCATCCCCCCCTATGCCTATCCCCCCTATCGTTGCCCCTGAGCTATACTGCATGCGTGGTTCTGGTGATCCCAGGGGCCCAACACTGGGCTTAGGCCTCATGCGAAACACGCGTCGTGGGAACCTGAGTTCAAGCATTCTCAACCCATGCACAATGTGTGAAGATCAGCGCCACGTTTTGCCATCAGACAGCGCAGAAGCTAGAACCGCAGCTTGCCGTGCTCCGAGTTTGGCCTTGCTGGGCCATGGGCCGCACAGCTTTTCAGAGACTGTCCAGCATGACTGTTCGGCGCACGCCAGTCTGTGGCGCACACTTGCCGGGGTGCTGCCTGTACGGTCCGAGCGGATGCCAGGGAACGCGATGTGGCGTTTCAACAACTGTCATCGCCTCCCCACCCGGCAGAACCGTCTGGCACGAGTCGGAGCCTGCAGGTTGGTCGCGGCACGTCAGCAGTTCAAAGGAGCCGTTGCTCCACTTCAGCCTTGCGTTGTGGAGTGCCATGGTCAACTCCTTAATGGGCCCTGGAAACGACAGGGCCGTTTTCTTACCGGTTCCGTTTTGCCGTTTTTTTGCCGGTTCCGACGCCGTTTTTTACCGGTTCTCTCGCCGTTGTTTGACCGGTTCCGGCTCCGGTTCCAATCCTGGAGCCGTTTTTTGCCGTTTCTGGTCGTCGTTTTTTTGCCGGGGACATTTTTTGGAAACGGTGAAAAAACAGCCCTGCCGTTTCGGGGGCCCACAAGGGTCAACTCGTACGCCATCGCGCGGAACTCAGCGGCGGAGTTGTACAAGAGCACACGGTTGTCTGCCCAAGTGTACTACAACACAGCCTACGCAAATCGCATGTCTTTGCCACGCATGGCCTCGCGGAGCGCGCCTTGGCTACCATGGCCTGCCTCGCAGAGCGCATTTGTCTGCAGGTGTAGCCTCGCAGAGCGCATTGTTGTTGCTTCTATGGCATGGGAAAACCATCGGGGCAACCATCGGGACAACCGTCGGGATAATCTTACGCCGAGGCCCAGATAGGGGCGCCCACTTTTGTCTCTCGGTTGACCCCGGCAAATGGGCGGACTCGCACAGCTTCGCCTCGCCTCGCCCGCGAGCGCGCCCAGGAGAGGCCACGTCCAGACGGAGCACGCCAAGACGGGGACCGAGCACTCCGTGTGGACTTCGCCTCCTATCAGGAGAGGCAAAGAGCCCACACGGAGTACAGCTGGGGCGTTGACCTAAGGAACCCTAAATAAGGAACGAGGCCCCTTGTTTCCATAACTTAAACCTCGATTTCCGATCGACAAAAAAAAGAAAACCTGAGGCAAGCTGCGAAACACTCAAGGAACGCGGAGCCCCTCCCCAACGAAAAGGGTTCCTTCTTCAGGGCCCCGACTGTAAGCCCAGACGGAGGCCGAGCGCCCCGTCGCGTGGACGTAGCGTCCGCCGACGCACGTCCGGCGCGAAGCGACGCGGCCTCCTGGCAGGGGCCCCCATCCCGCTCCGCTCCGGCCTCGCCCCCCTGGACCTCCGACGCGTCCTCCTCCGAGAGCAGCGGGCGGTCGGAGGGAGAGGCAGGAGGCGGGGCTGCGGCCGCGCGCGCTCAGCGTCCAGGCCGGGAGATCGCGCCGCCAGTCTCCACTGAAGGCCGGGTTGCCAGCGTCCAGGCCGGGTTGCCAGCGTCCAGGCCGGGAGGTCAGCGTCCAGGCCGGGTTGCCAGCGGAGTCTGCTCTCGTGCGCTCCGCACATGTGCCCAAATGTCGCATGCCGACGGGGAGCCTGGCTCGAGCGGCGCCTGTGCAGGCGTAGAGCTAGATAGAGCGGCGGCCTCCTCCGCAGCGAGAGAGATGCCTGCGGAGGCAGCTTCTCATCCCCCCGCGATGAGCCCTCCTGCCACGCGCACGCCGCGCACACACATGCGCCCGTTATGGGCGTGCGCTGCGTGGACGAGAGCGGCGGAGGGAAGGCAAACTCGTGTGAGCAGGGAGGCCACGGGGGTCCTTGGAAACGACGATGCCTGCCTTCTGGTCCTGCGCTCGAGCGTCCTCCAGCTCGATGCGGTCAAACTTGCCCTCCAGGCCGCTGCGGTAGATCAGGAGCAGGTCCGCCTTCGAAGAAGCGACATCCTCCTCCTCCTCCTCCTCCTCCTCCTCCTCCTCCTCCAACTCCTCCTCCTCCTCCTCCTCCTCTTCCTCCGCCTCCGCGTCCTCATCCTCCTCCTCCTTCTCCTCCTCCCCTCCCCTCCCCCCCCTCCTCCTCGTCCTCCTCCTCCTCCTCCTCATCCTCCGTATCTTAGACCGATTTAAGGATCTCGCCAGTAGCGAGACTTCCTCCTCCTCCTCCTCAATATCATCCTCGTCACCACCACCACCACCACCATCATCATCATCATCACCACCACCACCACCACCACCACCATCATCATCATCATCATCAACAACATCATAATCATAATCAGAATCATAATCATAATCATAATCAGAATCATCATCATCAGCAGCAGCATCATCATCATCCTCATCAGCAGCAGCAGTAGCAGCAGCAGCATCACCATCTTCGTCAGCAGCAGCGTCATCCTCGTCGTTATCATGATCGTCATCATCATCAGTGACAGTGACAGTCATCATGACAATCGTCATAAGCGTTATCAGTGACAGTCATCATCATCATCATCATCATCATCAGCAGCAGCAGCATCATCGCCATCATTATCATCATCAGTATCAGCACCAGCATCATCATCATCAGAATCATCGGCATCATCAACACCATCGCCATCACCATCACATCACCATCACCATCACCATCACCATCATCGCCACCATCACCATCATCATCATCAGCAGCAGGATCATCAGAATCATCAGCATCATGCTCGTCGTCATCATCATCATCATAATCAACATCAGCATCATCATAATCCTCGTCATCGTCATCATTAGCATCATCGTCATCATCGTCATCATCAGCATCATCATCAGCAGCACCATCAGCAGCATCATCATCATCCTGTTCCTCCTCCTCCTCCTCCTCCTCCTCCTCATCATCATCATCATCATCATCGGTGCCAGTATCGTCATCAACATCGCCATACAAATCACCACCATCATCACCATCATCGTCATCATCATCAGTATCAGTATCATCATCATCATCATCATCATCATCATCAGCCCCACCATCACCACCACCATCCTCAACAACAGCATAATCAGCATCCTCATCCTCATCCTCATCAGCATCATCTTCAGCATCATCATCATCATCATCATCATCATCATCATCATCATCATCCTTCTCGGCAGCATCATCAGCAGTATCATCTGCCTAATCAAAATCAGAACAATCATCACCACGTCATCGTTGCTATCT